GAAATTCTTACCTATGTTGTTGTTCTGATAAAAAGTTGTGTTCAATGGAATTAAAACGATAAAAACGCTGCTGGAGGTTAATCCAATGTGTCTGTCACTTTGAAATGATTACTGATAATCCATCTTCATATTTATGTCAATAACGGAGATTTCCTATAAGCTGCTACAAGAGTGTATGACAGCTTCCGTTTTGGGCATGCTGGCTGAGCATCACCCATTCACCAATGGGTGATGTTTAGATGGATTTTATGAACTTCCCCTCGATTCTATTGGCTCTAACGGTTAAAAAGAGGTGTCAATCATCAAAATCGACCGACGGGGGCAAGATATGGAAAATGCACCAAAATGACCGCAGAAGTGGGTTTTTTTTTCTAAATCTCTCTAAAAAAAAAGAAGGTAAAAGGTCACTTGTTTTGCCTCAATCTCGATAAAGGGTACTTATATGTTTTAGTTTGGATTCCTAAAGCTTTTAGTCTACCTTACCATCATTCAAGGGTGGTTTTCACTATAAGAAATTAAATAAATATTTTTTGGACGGCCACTATAATTGCAATTGTTTTACTATGTTCAATCTGAATTTACTTTAAAATAAAAAAATTTTATATTGATTCTGACTCTTCTACATCCAACTCACAGGTTCATCATTGCTTTGAGAACAAAGATTATTAATTGACCCCTTTCAGAAGGGAAGATATGGTCAATTGTTCTGGGAATGTCATTTTTGAGCCTGAGGCCTGAAAAACAGGCTCGGGGCTCAACTGGTTAAATGCAGATTTGTACCCGTCTCTAAATTAACAAACACAAATATATTGTATGTACATTAGGGGAATTGAGCTAGAGCAAAAGGAACTGACTGGAGATTCAGACCTTGATGTTGACCATAGCCGAGGCTCCAGCCAGGTGGAAGGAGATCAGGTCGCAGGCTGTAGCCGTCCAGGTGGTTCTGCCTCCTGCCGGCCTGAAATTAGGGGGAAGAAGAAATCAAGGTGAGAAAAAATAAGCCATGAAAGACTGAGAAAGTGACGAAGTTCCTATGGAGTTTAACGTTAGCTCTCCACTTCTGGCGATCGCATTAACACTGCAAAAACTCAACCTGCAAAAGGTTGAAAACCCACCAATATATGAATACTGTCTCAGTGCACGTGTGTGTATATGTGTGTGTGTGTAACCTGATGTCAGTGAGAGAACACTCCAGTGCCAGGGCACCCGTCAGTGAGGGACGGAGGGGCCGCAGGTCGCTGATGTGGATCTTCACCTTGTTGCCATGGTCACAGCGCAGAACCTGATACCAGCCAATAGAGACGCAGTGAGACAGTCAGTCGATGTTAACAATTCACATAACATTTAAATCATAATCACATTTACTGAATGCTTTAAACTGTATATCAAATACCCTAACTCTGACTTATTGAATCACACATTCCTTATGCAGCAGTGATGTTTTTGGATCAGTTGGTATACCTCTGCGATGTTGTCTGACTCGACGTCGGAGCAGATCTGTCCTCTCTCCCAAACCCCGTCGATCTCAGCAGCGCAGTAAATGTCGGCCTTCCATATTATATCTTCGGCCTCCATGCGCGCACACTGCTTGTTCACCAGCTCACAGATCCTGAAAAAGGGTTTTAAGATTAGATTAAACTTTATTGTCATTGCACAAGTACTAAGACAATTAAATGCCAAGCAGAATTGCAAAAGAAGCAGTTAAGTGCAGAGAGATGGGAAGTATAATATGCTACAATATGAATAACATTATGGCACCAAAATCATGTTAAATGTGTTGGTGCTGAATATTTAAATATAGCCACGTTGGAAGTAATTGAATCACTAATTCTCAAGTTTTCTTTTTAATTATACATATTAAAGTATTTTCAATTTCATAGCATAGCATGTTTTAAGTATTATAGCCTAGTGATCTGTTGCCTTTTAGGAAGGAGTTTATGCAGCATTAAACAGGATAGTTGGATTTGTTTATTCCTGCTTTACCGAACTAGAAACGCATGTGTATCGTTACATCATAGGTCCAATTTATAGTCACTTTATATATTATATATGAAAAGTTTTAGCTTGTATTGTCAAAATGATACTTATACTGTCTGTTACCATCGGGAATGCTTGGAATTTCGCTGTACTCTGTGTAGTGACAATAGAAAAATCTAATCTCTGATCTCTATTGAGTGCTGCAGTGACGCGTCCTAAAACCCAGAAGCAAACTCCTTCTGGTTCCTTCAACAAAAAAACAATGCAATTTCTCCATAGGATTTTGCAAAATAGCTGGAAATAAGGTCTGTGGTTGAGACACATTTAAGAGACGGATGACGTTTTGTTCAGCCGGATAATCTCCACATGTCTACACTACTTTTAAAATGTTTCTAATAATAAATCTAGTCGCCAGAACAAAATGCTAACGTTATGCTATAAAGGAACTACAGCAGGGTCGCTGCTTCAACGTCACGCAACTTAAGATCCATATTCAAACATACAGACTCTAAATGGTACGAGTTGAAGCGTTCGTTTCAACAGCTTGCAGGAGGCAGGTTCTTGCTTTCAAGCAGAGCACGGGCAAAAACAAACTTAGAGTGTTCACGTGTTCGGAGTAATGACGTACAACGGCCTCGATAACTTCTGTCGTCCTTTTCAGCCACTCGGTAACAACCATCGTTTTTCAGACACGTAAACTCTTCAAAAATCCCCAGTGGGGTCACTGCTGATGTATTTAATGTCGTAGAACAAAACGTCAATTCCCTCTTAAATTTGTGTCAACCACAGACCTTATTTCGAGCTATTTTCCAAAACCCTATGGAAAAAATGCATTGCTTTTTGAGGAAGGAACCGGAAGTGCCAAAAATGCTAACTTACTTCCGGGTTTTACGACGCGTCACTGCGGTTCTCTATTGTGAGCTAATGTATGCGGACTTGAACATGGTGATGAGCTAATGTGCATTTATTTTAAATGTATGAGAAATGAAGAGGGAAACTGAGATGTTATTTAAGTTACTTTAGGATGTGTGTAGTGTTGTCTTGTGCCCTCCTCGGGCATTTTTGTACATTCTTTCTGACTTTTTCTTTTGATTTGGTGATCATTTCAGCTGTGTTACAGCGTTTGGCATGGATTTTTGCAAGAAATCTTCTTTTGTCAAATTTTGTAAATCAATTGTCGTTTATCTTACATGTTTTGTATACTCTCGTGATGCATTTTGCACCCTCTGGACCCCTTCGTGGCAAAAATGTACACGCTCATAATAACTGCTATTAAATCATCATACATCAATATCTTTTTCATGAATCACATACAACTTCTAAGTACTCAAAACTACCAAACATTCAATCATTGTCAGGAATGTAACCCTTTTAATGCCTGTTTCATTATTTTAATTATTTAATTTCTCTCAAAAATGCCTCATTGACTTCCATTCAGACCACATTTTTTGATCTCACTGCCATTGCAGTATAAAACCATGCATTTTGTAATGTCAGCATTTCATTTAGAAGACAAGTAGTGATATTTGATATTTCTACTCTATTCCAACAGATTACACCATTTTCCCACTGTAGGCCGATGCATGAAATTCTTACATTTTTGCCAGTTATATTATGTAAGCATGCACGGATCATTCCATGGGAAAAAAGGCCATCTTTTGAGGGATGTGTTTGATGTGTCTTTGAAGAGCTGCTTGATTACTC